CCACCCAGAGGAGTACGGCCCCAGCCACCCAGAGGAGTACGGCCCCAGCCACCCAGAGGAGTACGGCCCCAGCAGCCACCCAGAGGAGTACGGCCCCAGCCGCCACCCAGAGGAGTACGGCCCCAGCCGCCACCCAGAGGAGTACGGCCCCAGCCACCCAGAGGAGTACGGCCCCAGCCACCCAGAGGAGTACGGCCCCAGCAGCCACCCAGAGGAGTACGGCCCCAGCAGCCACCCAGAGGAGTACGGTCCCAGCCACCCAGAGGAGCACGGCCCCAGCAGCCACCCAGAGGAGCACGGCCCCAGCAGCCACCCAGAGGAGTACGGCCCCAGCAGCCACCCAGAGGAGTACGGCCCCAGCCACCCAGAGGAGTACGGCCCCAGCCACCCAGAGGAGTACGGCCCCAGCAGCCACCCAGAGGAGTACGGCCCCAGCAGCCACCCAGAGGAGTACGGCCCCAGCAGCCACCCAGAGGAGTACGGCCCCAGCAGCCACCCAGAGGAGTACGGCCCCAGCCACCCAGAGGAGTACGGCCCCAGCCACCCAGAGGAGTACGGCCCCAGCAGCCACCCAGAGGAGTACGGCCCCAGCAGCCACCCAGAGGAGTACGGCCCCAGCAGCCACCCAGAGGAGTACGGCCCCAGCCATGAGGATGAATGTGTATTAGGCTACTACTGGCTGTATGATGCAGGTCAGATCTGCACAGTGAAGATCCCCATGGTGGGGGGGGGGGGGGGGGGGGGGGGGGGGGGGGGGGGGGGGAGAGTATTCCGGTAGGGGATTACATGGGTAGGGGGGGGGGGGGGGGGGGGGGGGGGGGGGGGGGGGTATATTCCGATAGGGGTATATTTCAGTAGGGGGTTACATGGGGGGGGGGGGTGAGGTATATAACGGTAGGGGTTACATGGGGGGGGGGGAGGGGTGAGGTATATTCCGGTAGGGGTTACATGGGGGAGGGGGAGGTATATTCCGGTAGGGGGTTACATGGGGGGGGGGGGGGAGGTATATTCCGGTAGGGGTTACACGGGGGAGGGGTATATTCCGGTAGGGGTTACATGGGGGGGGGGGGGGTATATTTCGGTAGGGGTTACACGGAGGGGGGTGTAAATTCCGGTAGGGGTTACATGGGGGAGGGGTGAGGTATATTCCGGCAGGGGTTACATGGGGGGGGGAGTATATTCCGGTAGGGGGTTACATGGGGGGGGGGGGGGGGGGGGGGGAGGTATATTCCGGTAGGGGTTACATGGGGGGGGGGGGGGGGAGGTATATTCCGGTAGGGGGTTACATGGGGGGGGGGGGGGGGGAGGTATATTCCGATAGGGGTATATTTCAGTAGGGGGTTACATGGGGGGGGGGGGGGGTGAGGTATATAACGGTAGGGGTTACATGGGGGGGGGGGGGAGGGGTGAGGTATATTCCGGTAGGGGTTACATGGGGGGGGTATATTCCGGTAGGGGTTACACGGAGGGGGGGGAGGGGGGTGGTAAAATTCCGGTAGGGGTTACATGGGGGGGGGAATATTCCGGTAGGGGCTTTTAATTGGGGGGGGGGGGGGGTGTGGGGGGTGGGAGGTATATTCCGGTAGGGGTTACACGGAATGGGGGGGGGGGGGTGTAAATTCCTGGTAGGGGTTACATGGGGGGGGGGTGTAAATTCCGGTAGGGGTTACATGGGGGAGGGGTATATTCCGGTAGGGGTTACACGGGGGGGGTTACATTCCGGTATAGGGGGGGGGGGGTATATTCCGGTAGGGGTTACACGGGGGGGGGGGTTACACGGTAGGGGTTACATGGGGGGCAGTATATTCCGGTAATATTACATGGGTGGGGGGGTTATATAGGGGGGGGGGGTTACAATGGGGGGGGGTATATTCCGGTAGGGGTTACATGGGGGGGGGGTGAGGTATATTCCGGGGGGGTTACATCGGGGGGGGGGGGGGGGTATATATTCCGGTAGGGGTTACATGGGGGGGGGGGGGGGTATATTTCCGGTAGGGGTTACATGGGGGGGGGGGGGGGGGGGAGGTATATTTCGGTAGGGGTTACATGGGGGGGGGGGGGTATATTCCGGGGGGTTACATGGGTGAGGGGGGGGGGGGAGGTAATATTCCGGTAGGGGTTACATGGGGGGGGGGTATATTCGGTAGGGGTTATTGGGGGTGGGGGTATATTTATTACATGGGGGGGGGGGGGTATATTCCGGTAGGGGTTACATGGGGGGGGGGTATATTGGTAGGGGTTACATGGGGGGGGGGTATAGTTTAGGGGTTTACACGGTAGGGGGGGAAGAGGGGGGGGTAATTGTGGGGGTTTACACGGGGGGGGGGGGGGGGGGGGGTATTATTCCGGTAGGGGTTACATGGGGGGAGGGGTGGGGTTATTCCGGTAGGGGTTACATGGGGGGGGGGGGGGGGGATGAGGTATATTCCGGTAGGGTTACATGGGGGGGGTGGCGGTATATTCCGGTAGGGGTTACATGGGGGGGGGGGGGGTATATTCGGGGGGTGGGTTACATGGGGGGGGGGGGGGGTTACACGGGGGGGGGAATATATTCCGGTAGGGGTTACATGGGGGGTTCCGGTTAGGGGGGGGGGGGGGGGGGTGAGGTTATTCCGGTAGGGGTTACATGGGGGGGGTGGGGGGGGGGGGGGTATATTCCGGGGGGTTTGGGGGGTTATTTTTCCGGTAGGGGTTACAGGTGGGGGGGGGGGGGGAGGTATATTCCGGTAAGGGGGTTACATGGGGGGGGGGGGGGGGGGGTTATATATCGGTGGGGTTTACAGGAGGGGGGGGGGGGTATATTCCGGTAGGGGGTTACATGGGGCGGGGGGGGGGGGGGAGGTATATTCCGGTAGGGGGTTACAATGGGGGGGGGTATATTCGGTAGGGGTTACACGGGGGGGAGGGGGGGGGAATTATCTCGGTATGGGGTAACATGGGGGGGGTGGTATATTCCGGTAGGGGTTGTGGGGGGGGGGGGGGGGGGTATATTCGGGGGGGTTACATGGGGGGGGGGGGGGGGAGGTATATTCGGTAGGGGTTACATGGGGGGGGGGGGGGGGGGAGTATATCCGGTAGGGGTTACATGGGGGGGTATATTCCGGTAGGGGTTACACGGGGGGGGGGGGGAAATATATTCCGGTAGGGGTTACATGGGGGAGGGTATATTGGTAGGGGGGGGGGGGGGGGAGGTATATATTCCGGTAGGGGGTTACATGGGGGGGGGGGGGGGGGGGGTATATTCCGGTAGGGGGTTACATGGGGGGGGGGGTATATTCCGGTAGGGGTTACATGGGGGGGTATATTCCGGTAGGGGTTACATGGGGGGGGTATATTACGGTAGGGGTTACATGGGGGGGGTATATTCCGGTAGGGGTTGCACGGGGGGGGGGGGGGAGGTATATTCCGGTAGGGGGGTTACATGGGGGGGGGGGGGAGTATATATTCCGGTAGGGGTTACACGGAGGGGGAGGGGGAGGTACATTCCGGTAGGGGGTGTTACATGGGGGGGGGTATATTCCGGTAGGGGTTACATGGGGGGGGGGGGTATATTCCGGTAGGGGTTACATGGGGGGGTATATTCCGGTAGGGGTTTACATGGGGGAGGGGGGGGGGGAGGTATATTCCGGTAGGGGTTACACGGGGGGGGAGGTATATTCCGGTAGGGGTTACACGGGGGAGGGGGGGGGCCTGGTATATTCCGGTAGGGGTTACACGGAGGGGGAGGAGTAAAGGGCGGGGGGCGTTCCCCTATTGGACACAACCCTGTCACATGTTCCCCCTCTCCAGCACAATGGGACCCACCAAGCAGGTTCTCGGGGGGTCCCAGGACTTCGGTCCTGTTGCTGCTCCTGTGACAGTCTCTCTATATCTTCTCTGGCTTCCTGGGGGTTCCCGTACCATCCCCCCCATCCCGGAAACCAGGACTGGAGGTACTGGAGCATTCCGCTGCTCTGGCTGCGAGTCGGAGTCGATGCGGGGGAACTGGCAGCTGAATCGGCCATCGGCTCTCTCACACTCTGTACAAACACAAGGATGGGGATGAGAAGACGGAAACAAATGTCAGTGGCAGTCGGACCATCCGAGTCCCCTCCCCCTCCCTAGAGGGAGTCCCTGTGGGGGAATTACTGACAATATATCCCCCACCTGCTCCTGAAGCACCGAGAGTGACGTCATCCCGCTTCCAGCCAGATCTCAGAGAATGCGGAGGCAGCCAAATCTCACAAGACGACTCAGCATTCCGGGATCGGTGGGAGGTCTTCCTGCGTCACTATCATCTATGCCACACACAGGGCCCCGGGACGAGTCCGGCCCTCCAGGCCATATCATGTGGCCCTTGCACCTCTCTGGAGGGACCCCCTTGTCTCCTCCCCCCATCTTGTCTCAGCAGTCGGCAGCAGAAGAGAGGAGGACAGAACTCCTCCGCCAAATCCTGCACCTCTCATTGCAGCTGCAGCCCCCCCTCATCTCTGCCCCCCTGGTCTCAGCACTCAGCAGACTCTGGTAACTGACTCCTCCTCTGGTCCTCCTCCAGACCCGGCACTTTCTGCTCTCTCCAGCTCTGACCCCAAAGGGGGGAGCACAGGGATGTTAGGGAGGGTTTGGGGTTCTGGACATCTGATGTAATGGGGGGGGGGGTGCTCTGGACATCCGATGTGGGGGGGCGCTCTGGACATCTGAAGTAATGTGGGGGGGGGCGGAGCACTCTGGACATCTGATGTGGGGGGGCGTAGTGCTCTGGACATCCGATGTGGGGGGGGGGGGCGCTCTGGACATCTGATGTAATGTGGGGGGGGGGGGGGGGGTATGGGGGGCGCTCTGGACATCCGATGTGGGGGGGGGTGGGGGGCAGGGCGCTCTGGACATCTGATGTGGGGAGGGGGAGGGGGGGGCAGGGCACTCTGGACATCCGATGTGGGGGGGGGGGGGCGCTCTGGACATCCAATGTGGGGGGGGGGCGCTCTGGACATCCAATGTGGGGGGGGGGGGCGCTCTGGACATCATGTGTGGGGGGGGGGGGGCGCTCTGGACATCAATGTGGGGGGGGGGGCGCTCTGGACATCAATGTGGGGGGGGGGGGCGCTCTGGACATCCGATGTGGGGGGGGGCGCTCTGGACATCTGATGTGGGGGGGGGGGCGCTCTGGACATTCGATGTGGGGGGGGGGGGGCGCTCTGGACATCCAATGTGGGGGGGGGGGCGCTCTGGACATCCGATGTGGGGGGGGGGGGGCGCTCTGGACATCCGATGTGGGGGGGGGGGGGCGCTCTGGACATCCGATGTGGGGGGGGGGGCGCTCTGGACATTCGATGTGGGGGGGGGCGCTCTGGACATCCGATGTGGGGGGGGGGGGGGCGCTCTGGACATCCGATGTGGGGGGGGGGGGGGCGCTCTGGACATCCGATGTGGGGGGGGGGGCGCTCTGGACATCCGATGTGGGGGGGGGGGGGGGGGGGCGCTCTGGACATCCGATGTGGGGGGGGGGGCGCACTCTGGACATCCGATGTGGGGGGGGGGCGCTCTGGACATCCGATGTGGGGGGGGGGGGGCGCTCTGGACATCCGATGTGGGGGGGGGGGGCGCTCTGGACATCCGATGTGGGGGGGGCGCTCTGGACATCCGATGTGGGGGGGGGGGCGCGCTGTGGACATCCGATGTGGGGGGGGGGGGCGCTCTGGACATCCGATGTGGGGGGGGGCGCTCTGGACATCCGATGTGGGGGGGGGCGCTCTGGACATCCGATGTGGGGGGGGCGCTCTGGACATCCGATGTGGGGGGGGGGGGGGGGCGCACTCTGGACATCCGATGTGGGGGGGGGGGGGGGGGGGGGCGCACTCTGGACATCCGATGTGGGGGGGGGGGGGGGCGCTCTGGACATCCGATGTGGGGGGGGGGGCGCACTCTGGACATCCGATGTGGGGGGGGGGGCGCACTCTGGACATCCGATGTGGGGGGGGGGGGGGCGCACTCTGGACATCCGATGTGGGGGGGGGGGGGCGCACTCTGGACATCCGATGTGGGGGGGGGGGGGGGTCTGGACATCCGATGTGGGGGGGGGGGGGCACTCTGGACATCCGATGTGGGGGGGGGGGGTCTGGAGTTGGACATCGATGTGGGGGGGGGGGTCTGGACATCCGATGTGGGGGGGGGGGCACTCTGGACATCCGATGTGGGGGGGGGGGGGTCTGGACATCCGATGTGGGGGGGGGGGTCTGGACATCCGATGTGGGGGGGGGGGGGCGCACTCTGGACATCCGATGTGGGGGGGGGGGGCGCACTCTGGACATCCGATGTGGGGGGGGGGGTCTGGACATCCGATGTGGGGGGGGGGGGGGCACTCTGGACATCCGATGTGGGGGGGGGGGCACTCTGGACATCCGATGTGGGGGGGGGGGGTCTGGACATCCGATGTGGGGGGGGGGGGGGGCGCTCTGGACATCCAATGTGGGGGGGGGGGGGCGCTCTGGACATCCGATGTGGGGGGGGGGGCGCTCTGGTCATCCGATGTGGGGGGGGGGGGGGCACTCTGGACATCCGATGTGGGGGGGGCGGGGCCCTCTGGACATCCAATGTGGGGGGGGGGGCGCTGTGGACATCCAATGTGGGGGGGGGGGGGGGCGCACTCTGGACATCCGATGTGGGTTGGGGGGGGGGCGGGGCCCTCTGGACATCCGATGTGGGGGGGGGGGGTGGGGCCCTCTGGACATCTAGTCTTACAGATAGAGCCGGCCCCCTGAGGGCCCCATAGATCTGATGCGGCCGCCATGACACCCTGCTCTATGCAGACAGAGGGGATTCTGGGACGGAAGGTTCCGGTGACTGAGGAGGAGATTGCGGTCAGAAGACAAGGCGGCATCATGTGACCCGACAGCCTCGCACCTCGGCCAGCTCCTGCTCCCTCCTGAACCTCTCGTGGACTTGCTGCTGTAAAATCTTCAGTTCCTCAAACGATTGTTCCTCCTCAATGCGATCCAACGCAGCCTGAAAAGTGACAGATTGCACCATGTGAGGGAAGAAGCCGATGCCTGGCCCAGGACGCTGCATCGGGTCATCACTGCAGTACCAGAGTAACAGATACTGGGAGCATTCACACAACAGGAATCACACGGGGGATCATCAGACATCGGGGGATCATCAGACACGGGGGGATCATCAGACACGGGGGGATCATCAGACATCGGGGGGATCATCAGACATCGGGGGGATCATCAGACACGGGGGGGGGGGGATCATCAGACATGGGGGGATCATCAGACACGGGGGGATCATCAGACATCGGGGGGATCATCAGACACGGGGGGATCATCAGACACGGGGGGATCATCAGACACGGGGGGATCATCAGACATCGGGGGGATCATCAGACATCGGGGGGATCATCAGACATCGGGGGGATCATCAGACATCGGGGGATCATCAGACATCGGGGGGATCATCAGACATCGGGGGATCATCAGACATCGGGGGGATCATCAGACATCGGGGGGATCATCAGACATCGGGGGGATCATCAGACACGGGGGGATCATCAGACACGGGGGGGATCATCAGACATCGGGGGGATCATCAGACATCGGGGGGGATCATCAGACATCGGGGGGATCATCAGACATCGGGGGGATCATCAGACACGGGGGATCATCAGTCACGGGGGGATCATCAGACACGGGGGATCATCAGACATCGGGGGATTATCAGACATCGGGGGATTATCAGACATCGGGGGATTATCAGACATCGGGGGGGATTTATCAGACATCGGGGGATTATCAGACATCGGGGGATTATCAGACATCGGGGGATCATCGGGGGACATCGGGGGATCATCAGACATCGGGGATTATCAGACATCGGGGGAATATCAGACATCGGGGGATTATCAGACATCGGGGGATTATCAGACATCGGGGGATTATCAGACATCGGGGGATTATCACATTACATACAAAAAGACAACAAAAAATAAAGCTCCTGAGCTCCTTCCTCTATAGCCTGACTCCAGGTCTGTGTTACTTTACAGCAGTAATAAACCGCATCCAAAAAAGTAGTTAACACTCCCTGCCTGCCTGGAGTTTGCATGTTCTCCCTGTGCCTGTGTGGGCCTGATGTGAATGTACAATATATATGCTGCATAAACTGATGGCGATATATAAGCACCTGAAATAATAATAAATAAAACCCCCCAAAAAACACAAATCCCCTGCAAGGCAAAGGCCCCAACATGCTGGTATACATCACAGAACAGCTCCCAGGATCAGCCCCTCCCCCATAGATTGTAAGCTCCCAGGATCAGCCCCTCCCTCTTAGATTGTAAGCTCCCAGGATCAGCCCCTCCTCCTAGATTGTAAACTCCCAGGATCAGCCCCTCCCTCTTAGAGTGTAAGCTCCGGGATCAGCCCCTCCCTCTTAGATTGTAAGCTCCCAGGATCAGCCCCTCCCTCTTAGATTGTAAACTCCCAGGATCAGCCCCTCCCTCTTAGAGTGTAAGATCCGGGATCAGCCCCTCCCTCTTAGATTGTAAGCTCCCAGGATCAGCCCCTCCCTCTTAGATTGTAAGCTCCCAGGATCAGCCCCTCCCTCTTAGATTGTAAACTCCCAGGATCAGCCCCTCCCTCTTAGAGTGTAAGATCCCGGGATCAGCCCCTCCCTCTTAGATTGTAAGCTCCCAGGATCAGCCCCTCCCTCTTAGATTGTAAGCTCCCAGGATCAGCCCCTCCCTCTTAGACTGTAAGCTCCCAGGATCAGCCCCTCCCTCTTAGATTGTAAACTCCCAGGATCAGCCCCTCCCTCTTAGATTGTAAGCTCCCAGGGTCAGCCCCTCCCTCTTAGATTGTAAGCTCCCAGGATCAGGCCCCTCCCTCTTACAGTGTAAGCTCCCAGGATCAGCCCCTCCCTCTTACAGTGTAAGCTCCCAGGATCAGCCCCTCCCTCTTACAGTGTAAGCTCCCAGGATCAGCCCCTCCCTCTTACAGTGTAAGCTCCCAGGATCAGCCCCTCCCTCTTACAGTGTAAGCTCCCAGGATCAGCCCCTCCCTCTTACAGTGTAAGCTCCCAGGATCAGCCCCTCCCTCTTACAGTGTAAGCTCCCAGGATCAGCCCCTCCCTCTTACAGTGTAAGCTCCCAGGATCAGCCCCTCCCTCATACAGTGTAAGCTCCCAGGATCAGGCCCCTCCCTCTTACAGTGTAAGCTCCCAGGATCAGGCCCCTCCCTCTTACAGTGTAAGCTCCCAGTGTACACTGTGTGTAGGTGATGCTGTGTACAGCACTGACAGCGGCACTGGAACTAGGAATTCATCAATATAACCCGATAGAAGTCCAATCCGGAGTGATACCTCCTCCTCCGGGGACAGCGACGTTCCCTGCAGGCGGGCGTAGTGCCTATCGCAATAGAAGACGGCGTCCTGCGCTCTGCGGAGGAGGAAATCCAGGTGCAGCCGACGTCTCTGTTCTCGGATCTCACACAGGTTTGTGTTCAGTGCAAAGAGCCACCATTCCCTGCAGCTGGAGGAGAAGACAAGGTGTCAGTCGTTCCCGGGTGTCAGCCGGTCCCGGGAGTCAGCCGGTCCGGGAGTCAGCCGGTCCCGGGAGTCAGCCGGTCCAGGGAGTCAGCCGGTCCAGGGAGTCAGCCGGTCCAGGGAGTCAGCCGGTCCAGGGAGTCAGCCCGGTCCCGGGAGTCAGCCGGTCCCGGGAGTCAGCCGGTCCAGGGAGTCAGCCGGTCCAGGGAGTCAGCCGGTCCAGGGAGTCAGCCGGTCCAGGGAGTCAGCCGGTCCAGGGAGTCAGCCGGTCCAGGGAGTCAGCCGGTCCAGGGAGTCAGCCGGTCCCGGGCGTCAGCCGGTCCCGGGAGTCAGCCGGTCCCGGGAGTCAGCCGGTCCCGGGAGTCAGCCGGTCCCGGGAGTCAGCCGGGTCCCAGACACAGCGGGTTGTATTCTATATTCTACTGAACAGAAGGAAGGAGGGATCTTACTGTTGTGACACCGGCACCTTCGGCCTCCACTTTCTGTACTTCATCTGTCGCTCTTTTCGGTCAAACTCGTCCACAAACTCCACAATCTGCTGATATTGCGCCTGAATGACAAACGTGGAATTACACGGCGATCGCCCCCCTCCTACTAATGGCACCGGGCAGGAAGGGGCTGATGGGAGGGGCAATCAAAGGGTTACCTGTGTGCTGGGAGTGTTGTACTAGGGGGCGGGGGTGTTATTAGGGGGCGGGGTCTGTGTGCTTCACTGTACTCACACTGCTCTGGATGGCTGTGCTGTACCTGAGCCGTCAGGGAGGACGGATAGTAAACAAAACAATCTTCCTTCTCCGTCGGAGATGCTCAGTAATCACGGGGCCGGAGGGTAATTACAGGCCGGGACCAGGTGACTGACACATGCGGGAGCGAATGGCGGCGCAGGTAGGTGGTCTGCCCCCTCCCCGGAAATGCAGAATGACGCATACATATGGGCGGTCCTTAAGCGGTTAAAGTAACGCAGCGCTGAATCACAAAAAATGGCTGGGGGGGGGGGGGGATCCTCTGGAGGGGGGAGGGAATCCTCAGGAGGGGGGGAGAGAATCCTCAGGAGGGGGGGAGAGAATCCTCTGGAGGGGGGGGAGAGAATCCTCCGGAGGGGGGAGAGGGAATCCACTGGAGGGAGGGGGGGGGGGGAAAATCGGGGAATCCTCTGAAGGGGGGAGGGAATCCTCTGGAGAGGAAATCCTCCGGAAGGGGAGGGGAAGAGAATATTTCGGAGGGGAAGGGGGGGGGAGAGGGAATCCTCTGGAGAGGGAGGGGGGGGGGGGAATCCTCCAAAGAGGGGGGGGGGGGGGAATCCTCCAGAGAGGGAGGGGGGGGGATCCTCCAGAGAGGGAGGGGGGGGGGAATCCTCCAGAGAGGGAGGGGGGGGGGAATCCTCCAGAGAGGGAGGGGGGGGGATCCTCCAGAGAGGGAGGGGGGGGGATCCTCCAGAGAGGGAGGGGTGGGGGGGGGGGGATCCTCCAGAGAGGGAGGGGGGGGATCCTCCAGAGAGGGAGGGGGGGGGATCCTCCAGAGAGGGAGGGGGGGGATCCTCCAGAGAGGGAGGGGGGGGATCCTCCAGAGAGGGAGGGGGGGGGATCCTCCAGAGAGGGAGGGGGGGATCCTCCAGAGGGGGGGGGGGGGGGGAATCCTCCGGAGAGGAAGGAGGGGGGGGGGGGGAATCCTCCAGAGGGGGGGGGGGAATCCTCCGGAGAGGGAGGAGGGAGGGGGGGGGAATCCTCCAGAGAGGGGGGGGGGAATCCTCCAGAGAGGGGGGGGGGAATCCTCCAGAGAGGGGGGGGGGAATCCTCCAGAGAGGGGGGGGGGGAATCCTCCAGAGAGGGGGGGGGGGGGGGGAATCCTCCAGAGAGGGGGGGGGGGAATCCTCCAGAGAGGGGGGGGGAATCCTCCAGAGGGGGGGGGGAATCCTCCAGAGGGGGGGGGGGGAATCCTCCAGAGAGGGGGGGGGGGGAATCCTCCAGAGAGAGGGGGGGGGAATCCTCCAGAGGGGGGGGGGGGGGAATCCTCTGGAG